ATAATAATAATAATAATAATAATAATAATAATAATAATAATAATAATAATAATAATAATAATAATAATAATAACAATGACGATGATGATGATGATGATGAAAAAATATTGTAAGATGAATGTCAAACTGAAAAAACGCGAAGAATAAATGGAAATTTCGTGCTGCCACACGTAATTATGCTCCATTATCAGGAAGGGTTGAGTAGTGTACCTCCATTTGACGCCAATGCTTTCCGATGTGTGCAAGCGTGCAAATATCTTGTCTTCTAAACCGAGTTCATAGACTATTCCACGTACCTCCATTTGATGCCAATGCTTTTCCAAATGTGTGCAAGCGCGCAAATATCTTGTCTTCTAAACCGAGTTCACAGACTATTCCACGTCCTTGCTCACCGTATACTCCAGTCGCGTGAGCCTATTAATATGTTTTACATGTAAAAATAAGATCCCGTCAATTAGGAAAAAAGCAAAGAGTATACACGCAAACATGCACACAAAAAAATTCACCTCATCCACCATCAAATAAGCATTATACGATTTCAGTATTTCAACTATTTCTCGTAGAGGCGCGATATCACCCTCCATCGAGTACAAACTCTCCACCGCGACGAAAATATTCTTTTCGCTACCGATAGTTTGCACAGCCTTATCCAGTTGTCGCGTCAAATCCTCCAAGTCATTATGCAAAAATTTCAGCACAACTTTCGCACGAGAATTTCTCACGCCGTCGTGCACACTAGCATGCACGAACTGGTCGAGAATAATCGCGTCTCCCGGTTGTGGAACACTACTAAAGAAACCGACGTTTGCGTCAAACCCCGAAGTAAATATCAAGGCGCTTTCGGCGTGGTGGAAATCGGCAAGGAACTTATCAAGTGACTCAGCAAAAGAAGAATTTCCGTCCAGAAGACGTGAACCAGTTGAACCAAGTGGTGGTTGTGGGAAATTTAGGAGCTGTGTCACGAAATCGTTATGTAGTGTTGCATTACGCGAAAGTCCAAGAAAGTCATTCGAAGAGAAGTCGACGCTGTTTGGGGCGGGTACGGTCAGTGAACGAATTAGCGACCGTTTTTTACGGTTTTCTAGTATTAGTTTTAGCTGTTCAGTTAGAGGCATTTTGAACAAATGTCTTTATCGATGGAATCGCAATAATTTGAGTTTTTTATATTTCATATTAAAATCCGCGATAGCGAAGTTTGATTATCATGTTTATTATCGTATTGAGTAATTTGGCGCTAAAAATTTGGTTGACGTACAAGATCATTTATTTTAAATTGACACATTTATTATGATGTTGACAGAACATTCGATCATTCGATGTATCGATCCTATTGTAAACAATATATTTAAATTTAAATTCGGATAATCGAATACTAATCTATCCTTTTTAGAACTATAATAATTGTGACAGATTAAAATGAAATCGGATTAAAATGAAATTTTCTCTATTTTAATATGAAAATTTCGTATTTT